TTGCAATCGAAGTTTGTAATATATATATACATATATATATATATATATATATATATATATATATATATATATATATATAATATACCGCTAGGAGTATAAATTACATCTAACCAACCGTTTGATATAATATTAATTAATTTTGTTTAGCTTTGGTTTCATGTTATATCATTGTTGGTTTGACAATTTTATTCTAAAGAAAAGAATTAGCTTGTAGACTTCACAATTTGTAATGTGTTTTAGTTTCTATTTGAGGAATCAATTATTGAATAGGAAATGGGAAATTTGTCTTTCGTGATTCAAATAGTAAGCTCGAATTCATGATTGAGAAAGGATATTTTTCAAGTACAATTTAAAATTTTCTACTATTCTTAAATCTCATTATAAAGAATTTTTTAAATTAGTTTATTTGATTAAAATATAGTTCTTACAAAATATAACACTATAATCATGTTTCAATTTTAACATCTGTCAGTAATTCAATACAAACTTTATACAATAAAAATATAACTAAAAATTAAAGTAATCTAACAATTTCTTAAAATTCGTCCTTTAATTGTGATTCTCCAAATTAAGAGATCTGCAACCTGAGATGAGAAGTTTTAATAAATTTTACCTCTTTCAAGTGTTGGATTGTCATGACATCATAAATATTGAAGAAGTGTCACTCCATTAACTATTTTAATTTTGTGAAGTGAAGAAGGGGGTTATAGTTTGAAATAATGTGAAAATATCTTATATCTGAATATACGAGAAATCACATTTTAAATGTCTAAACCACTTATAAACTTTCTATAGATAAGAAAAGTTTATTCTTATATGCACATGTATATATATCATTCTTTAATATTAAATTTCTAACAATCCATCTTTATATTGAGGGCCTTCAAAAGCAATAATCATTTTATTACATACTAATACTATAATTTTGTGAAAGAAAAAATTAAATATAATAATAATCGTAATAAATATTGTAGTAAATATAAATATATCATAGTATTTGTTGCATCTATACCACATATTTATTCTTAAAAATACAAACAATAGACTCTCTTAACATTGTGCAACCCACTTGTCCAGAACTAATATAATAATAAGTACACATAAGCATATACAATTAAGTTTTTTTTTTCCTTTTTTTCAACTATATTAATGAGTAAAGATAAGCAAAGAGTCAAACTTATTCAAACAACAATAACCCCTGCCACACCTCAATCCTAAGCAAATTTCACGTCGCCTCAGTTAAGTGTATCAAGACTAATATTATACTATATAAAAATAAATAAATAGCGGGATTAAATCTCTATTTAATTTGGTGTGTAAGTGAGTGATTGGGACTCAAAGACTCATAGAAAGTATAAGACCTAAGTAAATGTATTGACATGACCCAAATGTTATCTGGAGTCCAAAAAAAACTGATATCGTTTATGTGAAAGAAAAAAAATTCATTTTGTGCCATACTTTTGAGACAACTTCTTAGTGATTTTAAGTCTACTTCGTCTCATTTTCACACCTTCACTTGCTATTATTTCATAGTGTAACAACTTAATTATTTTTTAATCTAACCATGATAAATTAGTATGATATGTTGTAAACATCATATGCAAATAAATTGTTATCCAGTAGAGGTCAACATAGAATATGATAACCAAACCATCTCATTTGTTTTATTTTTACTATGCGCTCGATTTATTCTTCACTATTTCAGCATCGATTCCAATAGTATCTATTTCTTCGAAAAAAACCTGCTAAAAATATTTCTAGTCATAACACATCACTGTTCATATATCAAGAAAACACATAAGCTATAAGTCACGTTGGCCTAAAGTATTATTTCTTTCAAAATTACTACAAATTAGTGTTTCTAAAGTGATATTGCTGAAATATGCAAAGATTTGGGACTTCTAAATCCGAATTCTTGCCCGAAATAAAGCTCCCAGCCAAGAACAACCCTTCAACTATCCCATCCCCACCAAATTCTGACCCATTTTGGTCTTATTCGTTGTAATTCTTAAGCCTAAAATGCTATAAATGTAGTCTATACATAAAAGAAAAGACCATGCTTCAACAATCACAACAACATTTTCTAATATTAACCCGATTACCTATTATACCCTATCAATACCTAGCATTTAGAAGTTATTACACTTAAAAATAAAGTAAGACAAGTAGAGAGTGTGATAGTTACTTGAGCTTTGACATTCAAAACGAAGTAATCGGGGGAGAGAGTAGGGAGTTTGAGAGGGTGAAAGTGAGAAATGGGAGAGGAATCATTCCTCTTCCTCTTATTTTCTTTACGAAATGCTATGAGCCGTCATAGAGGCATCATAGCCATTATAGTAGGGGAAATTTTGGTTGTTTCTGTCATTGATAACCTAACCTGTTATGAACTGGAAGGGGTTATTGTTTAACTCGCGTAAGGTCTAGACTGTTCTTGAGCTTGTCAAATTAAGTGATGGTCTCCATGACCAGCTTCTCTTCCTTTCCACCCGCATAATGATCATTCAGAAATGAACGGGGTAAATTGATATAGATTGTAATGATATGATTTGTCATTAATCAAAGACACCTCGTGCAGAGTCTCAAAATATTTTGGAATATGTCACCAAATTAAAATTGGGGTGACACGATAAAATTGTGATATCTAAAAAAATTTGGGCTGAAATCATCCTACCATAGTGGAGCTATTTTCTCTATAGCGGCACTACTACATGGTCAGCTGGCATAGAGTGCCAGCAGGGGGCAAAACTAAGGAAAAGTGGATTGTTTTGTTAACCTCTCCCTTGTCAGTAGAAGTTATCTCAAGCCACCACCATCACCATTAAGCTGGAGAAACGATGGAGTGGAGGGATTTCTACCCAAGTAAGGTAACCACCCATGAAATTTTGATCTACATTCATCAGGGATCACTTCGTGGAGCCAAAAAGTGGGGTTCAAAGTCCTCAAATAGTTGTTTAACACCAGGTAGACTATGTTTTTTAACTCAGTACTAGAACACTCTTTGCTTATATTTTAAACTATGAAACATAGGATTTTGGATATAGAGTTTGGATGGTTGAAGGAGTGTTTAACGGTGGTTTATGTTGATTATGGTTTTTACTAGTTATTGATTAACTTATGATGGTGTTGGTGTGATCCTTAGGAAGGTAATTGCGAGTGGAGTTTGATCGAGAAATATGGAGAAGGGATCTCTTCAAGTGGGTGATGATTGTTTATTTTTACAAGTTACGTAATTCATGCATATTAACAACTTGTAATATTTCTTGTGCAATGCATGTGGGAAAAACATAAAGGATGAATACAAAATGACATCATGTTGATAAATCTCATGAAATGGAAAATTTTAATTTACTTGTGACTTCAATTATGCATGTTATTTGTTATTGTTGGTTGCCTTTGGTACCACACAGGTATAGAATTACTAATGGTTGGCTCGAATACTATACCTAATATGAAATATCATTTAAGTAACTCGAGTACCAAGTTGATACACTAACAATGGTTGGCTTGAGTACCACAATGTTGCATTAACAGTTGTGTGTAGGTTCTATGAGGAACAAGTTTTTTATTGCTTTAGATGTGTTACATGTTGGTCCTAGAGTTTCCACTTGATTGTTGTATTTAAAATGTCAGGTGGTCTTTATGTAGACTAGATTTGCATGTTAAACGTTGTAGATAAAAAATAAGGAATTTTTGGTGGTTTGGGTTATTGGAACTGTGTGATGAATTAGGTATGACTAGTTATGACGTTATGATCAGGTGGGACATGTTTCGTGCGAGTTTCATGTCTGGGTAAGACTAGGAGTTTATACTATCTTATAATTGGGATTGAATTGCACTTGTTGTATTGAATTGGGGTTGCTTATGCATATTTTTTTTCAAGGGAAAAGAGTCGAATATGCCCCTAAACTATTCGAAAAGGTATAGATATACCCCATGTAAAGTTTGGCTCACTCACACCCTCCACGTCAAACTTTTCACATAGATATGCCTTTATGGGCGTTAGTTGGTATGCTAGACATATCCAACTCATTTTCCATTTCTTTAAATGTCACATGGAATTGTCATGTCCTTTTGTTTTTACCACATGACATTTATATGAAAATGGAAATTCTGACCCATAAATTAATCCCCCTTTTAAATAAACTACCAGACCCGTTTTCAATAATTTTTTTTAATTTTTTTTTGGTAAATCCCGAAAATGAGTAATTGATTAATAAAAGACAGAAAAAATAAGAAAAAAAAACTAACGCCAAAAATTCAAAAATAAATATAGTAATCTTAAACTCAAGAATTTCTTAAAATTTTTATATTTTTGGTAAATCTCAAAAATGATAAATTAATTAATAAAAGATATAAAAAATGTAATATTAACTCAAAAAATTCACAAATAAATATAATAACTTTAAATTCAAAAACTTCAACAATTTTTTCAATTTTTGTTTTCATATTGACCCCATTTAGGTCCTTCCCCTTCTTTTACTGAATGAATTTGTTTCTCACTGGAGACCTTCTTCCTATTCTTTTACTGTATGTATGTATTTGTTTCTCAAAATCCTTCATTAATTTTTTATTTTTGATCATGAATTTGCAAAAAAAAATTGAAATAAAATTTACTGACGAGGAAGAACCCTAGATATGGATTTTAGAGGAGAAAAGGAATGTACTTTTGTGGGTAAAATGGATTAATAATGGATTTGGATTTTAAAATTTGGGTGGGTATGAATTATTGTAAATTAAAATGGGAAGCCAATTAGAAGATGTCATATGGCTTTTCAAAAAGTTAGAGTTATCTAAATATCTTTGTGTTAAGTTGAGGGGTATGTTTCAACCAAAATATTTATCTTTAGGGTTTTTCTAGACCCAACGATAGAAGAAGGGTATTTATAAGCTTTTTCCCATAGGTTAGGGATAAATATGAGACTTTTCGCTAGAAAAATTGATATATATCTCAATCTACTTTGGGAAATTCATTTTTGTGCATCATTATATACTTTTTTTTTGTGGGGTGCGTCAGGCTCGTGCAGAAGTACAACACATGGGCGACTCGCAACAGAACAGGAAGCAAGCTACCTCAATGAATTCTACCCCTTAAAAAATAATTTAATATCGTGTGGATCAATGATCCACATATCGTATATTAAACTGATAATAATAGATAATGCACTTGGTTTTAGCTAAAAGACCGAGAAAGGTATACTATAATCATATGTTGCATATAAAAAGCTATTAGATGAAAAATGTTTGGTTTCTAACCCTAAATCAATTGAATGGTGAAATTAACAACAATTTATTAATGTAATGCATATAAGTGTTACTCTAACCAATATATTATATTTCAGATCAACACATGAAATAACTTTTTCTCATCAAGCAATATTCAAACAAACCATATCAGGTATTATTAATGAAAATCATAGCAATACATGATATTAGTATCATTGAAATAATTTTTTTTTGAAAAAACAATACCTTAATAATATAAATTGAACTAACTAGATGCTTCACCAATATACCTATAAGAGATAACCTAGAATGATTCAACTATAATTTCAATTTTACAAACTTCACACTCCAAAAGATCCACGTCCCAATGATGATGAAGCTCCATTTTCTAATTGTTTTAGACGATGGCACATTTTGGAACAAGTGTCACTCAACCAAGCATTAAATATGGTCACTTCATCTGCATTGAGCTGTTCAATTGATTCCCACCAACCTTTTTGTCTTATTTCAGCCATTTGGTCATAAAAAGTTGTTTGAGCAATCGTAGCATCTTCTACAACGTCAAGTTCTTCAAGCCTGTTTTTGAGTTCGTTCACTTTATTTCGTGCAGTGATCGTGTCTAGAAGAATACCTTGGCTTAACTGCATATCAGGATTCTGAAAACGAGTAACAATTGCATCAAGAGTAGGGTGGAAAAATGAATGTGGCTTACCAGCAGGGGAGATCATCATTATTCCAATGTCAACGTCGCATTCTCTAACGAGTTCACTCGCTTTCTTGTACAAACCCTCGCGACGCTTTGAAAATGTGGTAAGGAGGGCATCCTCATTTTCTATTTTTTTTATTGGTATCTTTTGACGTCCTTTAGTCTTCTTTCTCTCCATGGCTAAATTCCTAAGGAGATTGATGAAAAGATAGTTGATTAAACGTTTTTCAGTGAATGATACTTATGAAAAAACAATATCACACCTATTTATACATCGCAAAAATTGATTTTTTAGTCAAATAATCTGTTGTCATATATAAAATTAGGAAGTTCATTAATTTTTATGCCTTTAATATATTTTGTATGTATACATTATTAAAATATAAAATATTAAATTTGATATGTAATATTTTCATATACTCATGAAATTTATTAAGTTGAAGTTAGAAAATAAATCCTAAGCTTAAATTATAATAGGAAAATATATTAATGTTCTTTCAATTAGTCAAGTCTAAATAGACATTAAACATAAGTGACTATAATTAGAATAACATAAATTACAGACCAAAATCGTTATTATTAATTTAAATTATCCACCCGCATCAACATCAAATAGACATTAACTTAAATAAGATCCAAAAATCTAATTTTAATAGAAAAATATTTTAATAAAATACAATAATAATAATAATAATAATAATAATAATAATAATAACAACAACAACAACAACGACAACGACAACAACAATAATGATGACGATGACGATAATAATATTAATGATAATATAGCATATTAATGAATATAAAATTGGAGCTAGCAAATATGAATACAATTGGTAGAAATATAAATTACACATCAAATCTTTTTTTAAAAAAATTAGGATAATGATTAAAACAAAATTCTCATTTACAATTATTAAAAATAAATAGTAGAAAAAATACTTAGTATTTTTACATAAATAGACATTGACTGAATAAGATTTGAAATCTAACTTTAATAGGAAAATATATTAATGAAATATCATAATATAAAAGGAAAATATATTAATCAAATATCATAATATAGAAGGAAAATATATAAATGAAATACAACAATATAAAAGGAAATTATAGTAATGAAATATCAAGTGAAGTTAGAAAATATGAACAGAAAAAAGATAAACTATACATCAATTTTTTTTAATTTCCGTATAATTAGGAAAATAGAATATTTAAAAACATCATTTTTATTATTTATTTGAGAAATTTGGACCAATCACATTAAGCAATATAATAAATAAATATTTAATAATTTTACTATAAGGAAGTTATTAAAATAAGGGCAATATGAGTTAAAGGATTAACATTAAGGGTATTTTTAACCTGAAAAGTGGAGGTCAAGGATATTATAGGGCCGATAGATTGATGGAGGGTAATTTTGTACTAATTCAAATACTTGAAGGGCATTTTAGATCCTTCTCCGTTCATAAAATATTCACAAAAAATCGAGATATGACCTCTTATGTTCGAGAAATGCATTACTAACAACCCTAGAAAGAATTGAGGGAACAAAAAAAATTGTACCAATATCGTTTATCAATAATAATTATGTTTCTTCATCAGAATTTATTTTTCATCACGTGTAAATTTGTTGCAAAAACAATTAGCACGCCTAGTGACACCAAACTTGTCCTTCGTCACTTCTCTCACAAATTATGGGTACTTCAATTCTAGTCTTTGAATTTCGATAAGTCTATTCTAGCGATACCTTTAAAGTAGAAAGCATTTGTAGACATCAAAATTTTATAGAATTCTACTAGACGAGTTCCACTTCAATTAGAGTTCTTAGAGGCTACTCTACCCTAAACTCCTACTCATGCCTATATAAGGATAATATATTCCCTTGCAAAGGCATCTAGAAATTTCTACAAATTATATACATGACTTATCAAGTAATTATACTTTTGTTTAGTATGTAAAATTATCGGAAATGATATTTGATAGAGTATATTACTTTCTAATCTTGAATCACATTAAATACACAAATAAAAAAAATTAAAAGTGAACTAAAGAATCCAGTACCTTATAAAAACCAGAGAAGCTATCGATAACATAGAGAATTAAGTATTGTCAATGAATAAGGAGATAACAACTGAGTCCAATTGTTGCTTCCTAAAATGTTACTTTGTGAATAACAGCAAGAATACTTTTATTATTTAAATATATAAATAAATATTTTGAATTATAACTAGGGAAAATGCACAAGTACCCCCTCAACCTATGCCCGAAATCCCAGATACACACTTATACTATACTAAGTACCTATTACCCCCCTGAACTTATTTTATAAGTAATTTTCTATCCCCTTTTAGCTTACGTGGCACTAGTTTGAAAAAAAAGTCAACCATTGTTTGGCCCACAAGATAGTGCCACGTAGGCTAAAAAGGGGTAAAAAAATATTAATAAAATAAGTTCAAGGGGGTAATAGGACCTTAATATAGTATAAGTGTCTCTGAGATTTCGGGCATAGGTTGAGGGGGAACTTGGGCATTATCCCTTATAACTATAATTACTTATTAATTTGTATGTATTGTATCCATAATTCAACTATTATTAATGTATAATGCTGTGTCCCTACGTAATTTGTCCCTAAACCAAGCTATCCTTATGGAAAAGAGAAGGGGTAAATATGAAATTTTATTATTTTAATTCATTTATAACTAATATCTACGTAACTTATTTCATCTACCCTCTATAAAATTATACATAGATTTTCTTATAAGTTATGAAAGTATTAAACATGTGAAATCATTAAAACACAACCAAACATTTTATAAAATTAATACATATATAACTTTTATAAAATATTTAAATCCTACTAACCAAACATTGTACAACATTAATACATGAATAAATTTTATTCTATTTGCCACCAAATATGGTATACTAAAAGGCCAGACACAATTAGGAGCGTACGCTTGAATATCTTATAGTTATAATTATAATAAGAAGAAGGCTTTGTCATATCCTTATTAATATTTGAATGCCAATTAATAATAACAATAACATTCTTTGTCATATGCTCATTAATATTTAAATGTCAATAATTGCAGTACCTATTCCATTTGTAAAAAGGTTTTAAATGAGACTCCAAAAATACTCTCCTCCAATAATTCAAGAAGGACGTGACTTATAGTACTTTTTCATATAGAAATTTATCATTAAAATTGAAAAAATTGACTCTTGAAATTTAAACTAAGCTTATAAAACAACACACTGAATTGAGCTTAGAAAAATCATCCCAAAATGCCTCTGGTTTCCATTTTCCTTTTCATATGTTTCCTCTTTTTGTTAAGAAAATGGAAAAAGTACTCAAATAATAGTCAAACCAAAAAATTGCCTCCTGGCTGGCAGACTTCCACACCGCGTTCATAGAGGTTCATAGAGATTTAGCTGAAAAATATGGGCCGCTCATGCACCTTCAACTCGGTGAATTTTCTGCTGTTGTGGTTACTTCTTCTGAGATGGCTAAACAAGTAGTAAAAACTCATGACTTCGCATTTGCATCTAGGCCTAAATTCATGGCCATGGACATTATATGTTATGGTAGGTGTGACATCGCCATTACCCCCTACGGAGAGTATTGGAGACAAATGCGTAAAATTTGTGTTATGGTAATGTTGATTGCATTTGGACAAGTAGTAAAGGAGCAAGATGTCTTTATAAAATTAATAAGAGAAGTAGTAATAAGCTTAGCAGAAGACTTAGGTGTGACTGACATCTTCACCTTTCACACAAGTTCTTCATGTTTTTGGTAGAAGCAAAGACAAAAATTCTAAATGCACACAGTAAGGGCAAAATTTTTTAAAAATTATTCAATCAACAAATAGCAGTGAGAAGAAAAAAAAAAGGCAAACATATAGAGTAAAAATGTTTGAAAAAAAAAAAACCTTCACTAGGACTTGAACACTCAACGATTGGGGTCATTTGCGCAAGCCTTACCTTGCATCTGAGAACCAAACCTTCCATCAAACATTTTGGTTAATAGGGGCTCAAGAATTAATTATATGAACTTTTCATTATTTACAATGAACATATACAAATTTCCGTTAGACCCCTGTGGATACCCAATGAACTTACCCACCGATTGTTTAGAGTCGTTTTCTATGGAATTTTGGATGAGGGGCAATATGTTAGTCAATGATAGTTAGAAGTGTTGGTGATAGTGGACAAAATGGTATTGGAGAATCAATTCCTAATAACCAGATAGCAAATAACAAATCATCAACTTACCCCGAAGTTACAAATAAAATTTTCAAGCATATGACTGGTTGGAATTCGTCTTGTTGAACCTCAATATAAGTTGTCTTTAGAAGTTGGTGACAACTTAGAACATCTTTTTGCCATGATAGTGGCATGAGAGGCTACTGGCTCAGGTGTAAGGTCTTACAAGTATCACAAAAGAAACGTCTGAAAGTTCAATATGATGACATTCAAGATTGTGATGGTCCTGGAAAGGTCAAGGTACCTTAACCACTGCAACTATAACTTAAGTTTTATATACTATAATTTATGATCTACTTACATATATCCTTCACTTTGTTTCCTCATTACCTTTGCTTGGTTTATAGGAACGAATTCCTTCCTACAAAGTTATAGGCTTTGATAGACTAGGCATAAGATGCACCTGACACCTCACAGTTCAACCCCAACTTCGGGAGGATTATTTTGACTATTCTTTGAAGTATGAGTTGTAGAGGATGTTTGGTGGTCTGGCGGGTGGTGCGAATGTGTTTTTGCTAGATTTGGTGTCTATGGAAGCGGTCATCTTCAATTTTACTTCCTTGGTATGAAATAACAGTCCCAAGGAAACTAAAATTTTAAAATAAAAATAGAAAACAAGGAATAAAAGGAGAATCCTCGCTTATCGGTTGATGCATAGAAACATTACGTTAGAATAGCTCAACAACCAATGGATGCAAAATTGGAGTCTCTAATTATTTAAATTCTTACATGAAATTATATATCTGATCTCAACATTGACATAAATTGGCTTTCTAGCTCAACAGTGAAAAATGTTTTAAATTTAAGCTTAGCTTCTGCATAATTTATTGTCCAGAATTTTGAATTTTCGATGTTGGTCATGGCCTTGAAACCCAAGGTGTCTTTCTTTCTCAATAATAAGTGAGAAGATATTATTGGAGATACATTGGAAGAACATGAGGA